GTGTTCCCCGTCTATTCGAACACCAAACCCTTTTTTGTGAGCCGTGGAGATGCTATCAGAAAGCAAGCCAATGAGCTAATGATGACTAGCCTTTGATTGAAGGCCGGGCCAAGGCAAGGAATGCGAGAACAAGGGAGGTCCCACTTTTACAGTATTCAAAAGCAAGCTAAGATTCATCAGAAAAGTCAGTAGCTATCGGAGTAGAGGCAGCAGTTGCGGGTTCCGGTGCTAAAAATAAATAGGACCGTCTGGGGTTGGCGGAGTTGGTAGGAAGCACGGTTGGCGAGAAGCTGGTACTGCTTTCTCGCTTTTTCTATTTCTATATAGAATAGGAAGATAAAAAAAAAGAAGTTTCTGTGATTACTCTTTAAAGCTTAGCTTAGTAGGTAAGGCGCTACTTATTGAAGGGGATGTTCTGGTCGAGGTCGAACAGTCAGAATGCATTCATGCAAAGAAAAAAAATTGGTATCCAACATACGTTGAAATATTACCCGCAAACTGTTAGAGTACATAGGCTTCAACAAATATCTAGTCTTACAAGAAATAATATCCACAAGTACCAGACTAGTATCAAACAGGGATATTAAAAACAGTAGGTTACACACCACACCCAACATGTACAAACTAATATCAAACATGTAAGTAATTTGTATCCATGAACCCCGTATCAGTACCCCATAATAACATCAACATCATTAAATGGCATTCAATGCAACCAACCAATCCCACAACATATATATATGGCGAGTTCTACGGTACCCCGGGTAAAATCCGGGGTACCGCATACCTTGTGTAAAAAAACGCTATCTAGAACTTGAATTGACTGATCTTTCGGACATGATACTATACTCTAATCCATAAAGATCAAAATATAGGTCTTAATTCACTTAATCTTATACCCCAAGATCAATTTAGTTAGAAATAATAATCGACGGTTATGATTCGTTTAAATATAGGCAAAAAAATCAATCCACCATCTTAGAGTTTATAGTTTATGATTTAGATAATTAGGACCTAGGGTTCACTCATTAAGGGTTAGGGTATAGTATCATGCCCAAAAGCCCTGCTAATTCGAGGTCTAGATAGCGTTTTCATACTCAGGGTATGCGGTACCCCGGATTTCACCCGGGGTACCGTAGAAGGCACCATATGTATATATATTATATATATATATATATATAATATTACCCAATCAACCTTTACTTTCTTCTTCTTCTTCTTCTTCATCGAGGGTAGAGCACCACCTGAATCTTCATCAACAAACTCATATGATGTAAGATAGGGTTCTTCTTCACTATTTTGAATGATCGGCTTATCCTTCTTCATTGGAGAAGCTCGTTGATCATCCAACTCACCATTCTCATCGATCAGCATCCTAGATCGTGGACAAGGCTCGCCGAAAAGGAAAAGACGATGGCCGGAAATTACTGTTGGGTTGCTGGCGACGGCGTCTCTTCCCGCTGCTAGTGACGGAAAGTTGGAGAAAAACGAAGAGAGAGAGTTGGGTGGTTGGGCATTTAACGGCATCCCTCCTTTCCATTTTTCCATTTTCTTTTCCCCATTGTAAACCAGACATGCGGGCCCACTTTCCCATCTTCCTTCTCCCGCCCAAAACAACCACCTTCCTTCGGCTGAGGTAAAAGGCCCACCAACAGCCAATTAATAAGCCAGTCGATTTTGACCCTTGGATCGTAGCTGTAGTGACACGCTAAAACACAACACCAAACTGCGACAAAGTGTAATCGCAGTCCGGAAATGCAGTAACATGCAAGTTCTAATGTCAACCCGAGGTCTAGATCTACTGCCTACTCTGTGAAAATCTATTATCTAGCCAACTAAGTCAAGTGATTGTTGATTTAAGTAAAAGCAGTAAGAAAGCAAGAAATGGTTCGGTTTTCTCAAGCAAAGGAAGAGTCACTTGGGAATGAATCCCCCTAGCTCCTTAGTTAGGTTCCAGTTGTAATTACTTTGGGTTGCTTTACTGCTGATTATACTGCGAAAGATCCGACAACAGCTTGGAATCTCTTAAGCTGACCAACCCCTCTCAGTCCAACTACCTGGCAGACGACTAGTCTTCACCAGGATAGAAAGCCGAGACTATGAACACAGAACTCCACTACTGGAATTAGATTCCAGTACAAAGCAGTGAATCGACTAACTCTCGTATAATCGATTCACTACTACCAATTGAAGAAGCTCTAACAACCTAATCAGATTCTATCTATCTCAGGTTGCAGCAGAAATCAATAAAAGGTGATCAGACTTCAATTGACTCATTCAAAACACTTCAATCGATTATAATCAAGCAATATCACAATCCAAATGTAATTACAATCAAGATTCCTAACACATGGAACTAGGGTTCTTCATACCCAAGTGAGAGAGAGTTCTACTCCATAGAGAGAGAGGGGAAAACAGAATACAAAGCAGTCATACTCATAACAATGGGAAGAATCTGCTCTGGGATGATGACTTTCACTCCTATGATGATCTCCAAGCTCGATTTGATGAAACCGAGCTCCAGGATCGCTTCTAGGATGTGTTCTTCGCACTTTCTCTCTCTAGGGCTCTGTTTTTGCTCCAAAAAGTCGACCCCCTCACTTGTGGCTCGAAATTGCCTCAAAAACTCGATTCTGGGCGAATTACGGGCTGAATTACGGTCGTAATCATGGTCTCCCCGTAAATCGCCCAAAACGCGCGTTTTACTTAGCTCCGAGGAAGGGAATTACGGTCGTAATTTGCCATTTACCGCCAGTAATTACTAAATTACGACCGTAATTAAAGTGACTCTTGCCCGTAATTGACTCTGCGAAAGGAATTCTAGGAAATTAGGCTCGACCAAGTGTAATCGCAGTCCGGAAATGCAGTAACAGGCAAGTTCTAATGTCAACCCGGGGTCTAGATCTACTGCCTACTCCGTGAAAATCTATTATCTAGCCAACTAAGTCAAGTGATTGTTGATTTAAGTAAAAGCAGTAAGAAAGCAGGAAATTGTTTGGTTTTCTGAAGCAAAGGAAGAGTCACTCGGGAATGAGTCCCCCTAGCTCCTTAGTTAGGTCTCAGTTGTAATTACCCTGGGTTGATTTACTATTGATTAAACTGCGAAAGATCCGACAGTAGCTTGGAATCTCTTAAGCTGACCAAGCCCTCTCAGTCCAATTACCCGGCAGACGACTAGTCTTCACCGGGATAGAAAGCTGAGGCTATGAACACAGAACTCCACTACTGGAATTGGATTCCAATACAAAGCAGTAGATTGACTAACTCTCGTATAACCAATCTACCACTATCGAATGATGTAGCTCTAACAACCTAATCAGAATCTATGTATCTCAGGTTGCAGCAGAAATCAAGAAAAGATGATCAGACTTCAATTGATTCAACAAATCATGCATCATTCGATTAAAATCAAACAGTATAACAATCCCAAGTCATTACAATCAAGATCCCTAACACATGGAACTAGGGTTCTTCATACCCAAGTGAGAGAAGGTTCTACTCCATAGAGAGAGAGAGAGAGGGAAACAGAATACAAAGCACTCATACTCATATCAATGGGAAGAATCTGCTCTGGGATGATGATCTTCACTCCAAGGATGATTTCCAAGCTTGATTGATAAAACCCAGCTCCAAAACCACTTCTAGAGGTTGTTCTTCGCACTTTCTCTCTCTAGGGCTCTGTTTTTTAAAATCCCAGATTTTCCCGACCACACGGCCGTGTGGCTTTCCCAGCTACCCGTGTGAGTGTGCAAAATGCGGTGTTTCGATAAGTGAACTTCAGGCACGCTACACGGCCGTGTGAGTTTCCAGGATGCCCGTGTGAAATTTACCGAGCCTTCACACGGCCACATGGGTTCCCTTACACGGCCAGTGTGGCTTGCCCGTGTAATTTGGTGCCACACGGCCAGGTCACACGGCCGTGTGGGTTCTTAGGCGTGCCCGTGTAGCTTGCTCAGCCTCTCGCCAAACGTCCAATCTTCGTCCAATTGACCCCGAACTCGTTCCCAAACCTTCATTCACGTACTAGGACCTGAAATATCACAAACAAGAACAACCTAGCGTGAAATTGGCCTAAAACACGAGAAATAAGACTCAAACGGTATAAGAATGGTGGACAAAAACATGTGTATATATCAAGTCATCATGTAGCGACGTCGCATAAATCCGACCCGTGTTAGTATTTGCTAACAAAAACACTTGTTAGCAGTTTAACTTTTGCGGAAAAGTACAGATGAAGAAGTGCTTCTCCTTCTTCAAGCAACACAACATAACAACCTGTCAATTAGAAGGAAAATAAATAAATAAAGTAATGGTGATCATGGTTTTACAATCAAAATCAAGGGTCAAATTGGTAAAAGAAAATTGTCGCAAACTCAATAATTGAAAATGTTGGGGTGCCTGAATTACCATGTTTTTACTCCATAATGTGGGAATTAGGGCCCATTTCCATTTCAAATTTCCACTACCAAATGACTCCCGAAATTAAACAAATTTGTAACTATAGTTGTGGGAAGAAATTTAGGAGTTGTTTGCTTTAAGTTTGAAAATGTATGTTTTGGGAAATACCAAATTTATGATGGATTTATTGAAATGGATTCGTAAGAGTTTATTGTTTAATTATTGAATTTTATTATGAATGTTGCTTTATAGTTATGATCGATTTTTGGTTCTCGCCTAAATGCAAACTCCAATTATAAGATTTGCAAGTTCGTGAGACGCACAAGAAAACGACCCTAGGGATTATTTATTTAAGGATGTACATTATATATGAGATTGTGAAAGTACATCTAATTGTTGACTTGTTGCAATTAATTGAGCGTCAAACATAAAATGTTCATGCACTCCCATGACTAAAAATAAAATATGCGTACTACTTAGACTCACCTACCACAAAGTTTATGTATCAAACAGCCCAAACTATGAAAGTCTAATGGCCAAATTGAACTTCTTGCCTAAAAAACACACAAAAATCACCCTTGTACTGTAAACGCCCGAATCAGATCGGTTTGAAATTTCAGGAAAAATAGCCCTCTGTTTCTGAATTCTGATTGCTCACCCAAAAAGCCCACGCATCTTCTTCGTACAAATCGCCTCTCCACCCCATTTCATAGTTCCCGTCTCCTTCATTTATCCCCTCTCCCAATCCAAGCAGCTGGAAGTTAACAGCAGCAGCTCATCTTCATAGTCATCGCTGTTTCTCCCGACATAGTCAGCCAACTCTGTGTCTCTCTCAGGTAATCACTTTGTTCTCTTCGTCTCTCTCCGTTTGGAATCTCTCCATTTCCTGCACTTAATTCGTGATCTCGTCATCCTCATTTCTTTCGGCAGGCATCAATCAAAGGGTTTTCCCAGTATCAGTTGCAGCCGAGCTGCATCCCCAGATCGTGAAATCTAGATTTGTCCTCCTTGGGGTGTATTCAGATGGCGTCCAACGTCCTCTCTGCCGCAGCTTCTGCATCTCCTTCCACTTCCCCTGTCACTGACCTTCTCAAGGTAAATGGTGATCCCTAATTTAGCTCTGATCATTGATTATGACTTAGTATTTCTTAGCTGACAATAGGTCGATTGATGTTAAAGTGATCATCTTGTGAATTGGGTCAATGAGCTATGTGCGTTTGTGTGATTAACGACTCTTCTTTTTTTATCAGGGAAAGGGAAGACTTGGGAGTGGCAATGTCGGTTCTTTGTTTATCAAGGACAAAGGCAATCCCTTTCTGAACTCAAAGGTACTTACTTTATCATTCTTCTGTTTGTGGATTTGTGATTTTCTTTCCCCAATGGAGTTATCTGTTCTGTGTTACACTGAGATGGTGGTGCCAACTTAACTGCAATAATCCGAGGAGTGTAGCTTGTCCTTTTGGGTTTGGAACTTTGTGTGAGTTATGTTTCGGATTTTCTCAATTGCAGTCTTGCGGGAGGATCAGTATGGCCGTTGCTGTTAATGTCTCCCGTTTTGAAGCCATTACTATGGCTCCACCCGACCCGATTCTGGGAGTTTCGGAAGCATTCAAGGCTGACAATGATGAAAAGAAGCTCAACCTTGGAGTTGGTGCTTATAGAACTGAAGAGCTACAGCCATATGTGCTTGATGTTGTTAAGAAGGTCTGCTTATTTTTATTTCTTTTCAGTTTGGTGAATGTTTTCCCAAATGACAAACTGGTTTGTCTCTTTCTTTCAAACGGCTATAAAGATTTGTTTGTTGATTTCTTTCTCCCCCAGGCGGAGAATCTTATGCTTGAGAGGGGTGAAAATAAAGAGGTACCAAACCTTGCGTCAATGATCTCAACTGATTATTCTGTTCTTTTCTTTATGATCTAAGTTGATATTCTTAGTTGACTTAAATTCTGATGATGTTGGTTATTTGATTGCAGTATCTGCCCATTGAGGGTTTAGCAGCATTCAATAAGGTGACTGCAGAGCTGTTGTTTGGAGCTGACAGCCCCGTGATCAGTGAACAAAGAGTATGTCTGGCCAGATAATTTTGCAGCCTTAGAATTTTGCTCTTCACCAGCTATGAGCCTTCGATAATTCACGCATTAATTATCTATGGCCTAAATCAAAATCAGGTTGCCACCGTTCAAGGTCTATCTGGTACTGGATCCTTAAGACTAGCTGCAGTTTTAATTGAGCGATACTTCCCCGGTGCAAAAGTTTTGATTTCCTCTCCGACGTGGGGTCAGTAACATTTACTAGCTTGAGATCTTTGCTTATCATTTTTCAAGATGCCTAACTAACAAACACCCCAAATTTCCAGGCAATCACAAGAATATTTTCAATGATGCTAGAGTTCCATGGTCCGAGTACAGATATTATGACCCGAAGACAGTTGGTCTGGATTTTGAGGGGATGATAGAGGACATAAAGGTAAGGTTTTTAGAACATTACACTGCTTTTAATTCACTTTTCACCATTTGTCTTGTCCACTTTTGCTGAGTTACAGAATACATTAAACTTCAACTAGTCTACAAGATATTCAGCTATATTGAATTTCTCCTTTCAGGCTGCTCCTGAAGGATCATTCATCTTGCTTCATGGTTGTGCTCACAACCCAACCGGCATTGATCCAACCCCTGAACAGTGGGAGAAAATTGCAGATGTTATTCAGGAGAAGAACCATATCCCCTTCTTTGATGTCGCATACCAGGTATGATGTCATATATTGTTTCACTTTTGTTGTCCTTGCAACCTCTTTTCTCCAATAATTGCAACCTATTGTACTTCTTTGTTTTTTTGTTGAGGATTGCAACCTATTGAACTTGATAACACTTGAATATGTCTAACTCAGGGATTTGCTAGTGGGAGCCTTGATCAAGATGCAGCATCAGTAAGACTATTTGCTGCACGTGGCATGGAGATTTTCGTTGCTCAGTCATACAGCAAAAATCTGGGCCTCTATTCCGAGAGAATTGGTGCTATCAATGTCGTTTGCTCATCTACAGATACTGCAGCAAGGTTAGGATCCTCTTTTAGTTATATCGAAAGTCATCGTCAAGTTACTATTTGCAAGCTGCTGATGCACTTGCTAAATTCCCTTTTTCTTTTCATCATTTCAATTTCACTCACAGGGTTAAGAGCCAGCTCAAGAGAATCGCCAGGCCAATGTACTCGAACCCTCCTATTCATGGGGCTAGAATTGTTGCCAATGTCGTTGGGGATCCTGCTCTCTTTGATGAGTGGAAAGCTGAGATGGAGATGATGGCTGGGAGGATAAAGAGAGTAAGACAGAAGCTCTACGACAGCCTGACCTCAAAGGACAAGAGTGGAAAGGATTGGTCTTTCATTCTTAAGCAGATTGGCATGTTCTCATTCACTGGCTTGAACAAAAATCAGGTACTTAATCAATCAGCACCCTTCTTCTCCTTCTTCACTTATATGATCAATGGAGTCTCAATGATAGACCGAACTTTTGACGTGTGTGCTGTGTGTGGTTGTCTCGACTGTGTACAGAGCGATAATATGACGAATAAGTGGCATGTCTACATGACTAAAGATGGAAGGATTTCATTAGCTGGACTGAACTTGGCCAAGTGCGAGTACCTCGCTGACGCCATTATTGACTCATACCATAATGTCAGCTAAACCTCTCTGCATCATCGTGCACTGCAACAGAGGGCAGAAGCATAGAAGCAGGCTATTCAAGTTCTTTTGGTTGTTGTTGAGTTGGTAATACTGCGAAGATATTAATTTCGTCACTAATAATCCCCTTGCCTCTCTGTATCGCCCTGAATCTGGCTGGGGAAGCTTAATGTTATTATTTGTCAGGGTAGTGTAGGAGAAGCCATACGTACCCTAGAGCAAAGGACCTTTAGTGTCGGTATTGGTTTTTGTGTGTGTCGTCTACTTTATCATTTGTAGGGTACTTAACTATATATCCCAGAAGAATAAACTGTATTCACTTTCACAGAAAATATGAAGGCATTCAACACTTGTTTTCTTGTCACCAAAGAAATAGGACCATGAATGGAAAGTCAGAAGTTTTCTTATGTAGCTTTCTCAACGAGTGTTCAAAACTTTACAAAACGTGGAAGAAAATTTCCCAAACGTGGAGGAATACCTCTAACCCTACCCAAAATGAACGAAAAGGGTATTGTAATAAAGATTCAAGCTCCTTGAAAGAAACAGCCCATATACAGAATGACCAAAGTCTACAGAAACTCAGTTCAGTTTATTATCATCAGCATGTCACTGCAGGCTGAGTGGTCCTAAGCGTCCCTCCCAGTTCAAGTGGAAGCAGGGGAATCAAGGAATGCACCACGTCGGTTATCAGAGGCCGGTATGAAGGTTCTGGTTGCACACATAGCACAGCAACAGCTGCAACCTGTACAGGGTTAAGAAAGAAAAGGATTCTCCATAACTTTAGGGTGATATGAAGTTCAATGATCAATTTGTTACTTGAAAGGAGTAGAAAATTGTTACAGACCTGGAATAGGTACTTCTCATCAATGGTGTCTTTAATCACAGGATCCACAATGTTTGGGAGCATGTCCCTGTTAGTTAGCTGAGGCATGGCCTACACGTTTTAAAACAGCACACCATCACTCTCATAATCGAGCCATTTCCATTGAATCCAATGATAGCAAATTCGATTATTGGGGAAACCCAAATAAAGCATTTTAATTTATCCTCAAGATGGGAGAAATGGTGCAATACCCATGTGACAATGGATTGGCAATGAGCTGGTGCCAGTTTCTCCACCGGCCTTCTTCCCAGTAGAAGCTCTAATAGCACTACTCCAAACGCATATACATCACTCTTCTCCGTCAACTCCCCTGTGCCCATCCACATAACATACAATTACTTTACAGAAAACCCAAAAAAAGAAGAGCCTAAGTGCTGCTAATATTTTAAGAACTGTTTACCATCTAGCATGTACTCGGGCGCAACATAGCCCACAGTGCCGGAAAGTTTAAGCTTGTTCTTTTTACGGGTGCTATCAGCCACTGCTAAACCAAAATCTGAGAGCTGCATTACAGAAGTGTAGACAGCTGAAATTGGTGAAGGATGGTGGTGGGTCTAAATAATTGAAATGAACAGACAGAGATCACTGAGTTATGTCACCTTAGCGTGGAAATTGGAATCCAAGAGGATATTGGATGATTTCAGATCTCTGTGGATCACTACTGGCTTGCAGTATTCATGCAAATATTCTAATCCTCTGAATCAACAATTGGGGCATAAAAAATGTTACTTGGGTGTCAGAAACAAAAACAACAAAATGAAAGAGGATCAACAATATAGTTTATAAACAAACCAGAACACATAGCTCAGTAAGTAGCTCACCTTGCTGTATCCAGAGCAATTTTCAGCCGCATATGCCAAGTTAATTTAGACCCTCGGGAAGGTCCTGAAATCCATTACAAAACCCAGAAAAGGACAAATTATTGGCCCTCACTTTTCTCCTAGTATGGAAGGCCAGTCACAGCTTGTTCTTCCATTAAAAACAAAAACACAAAATCAAGAAGGAAAATATTTACCATGCAAAAGATCTTCAAGTGACCCATTAGGCATCAACTCGTACACAATGAAACCCGAACCCTCATGAACACCGTAACCAACCAAGGAAATGATGTTTGGATGCTGAAATCTGCTCAACAAGTCCACCTCATTCTACAAAGTTCCATACTGCATATGAATATAACTGAACAACAGTACTAGACCTCTAAACAGAACACAGTAAAAAAGGGGGAGAACAGCCACCTGAAACTCTCTTTTTGCATCTTCAGTTGCACAATCGAGTTTCTTCACCGCAACTGCAGAGCTATCATCCATGGTGGCTTTGTAAACAAGTCCAAATGCGCCCCTGCCCAACAAATTCTCCTCCACAAAATTTTGTGTGCCTTTCTCCAGTGTCTTGTATTCAATCAATGGAACACATCCCCTGTTGCTAGGCATCCTCAAGGCACGGAATTTGCTGAACAAGACCCCTTTCTCCGCATCTTCATACTCAAAATCAAAACCCCCCACAAATGAATACACATATCATTCACCAATATTCTTTTTCTGTCTCCAGCAAAATTCATCATTTCAAGTTTCTGCGGGAAACTAATACCTGGATTTGTGGACTTTTTCCTCTTCCGAAGAACTTTCCAGTAGCAAAGGCAACCAGCAGATACGAAGAGAAAGATTATCACGGCCATGATAACGCATGCAACAGCAAGTATGATGTGCGTTTTCTTATCCAGTTCCATGTGTTTGTGGTGCCCTGCTTCAACTCCCAGTTGCAATTGACTGCCTGCTCAAGTAACGAAAGTCAACAAAAAGATGTAGCACAGAGATAATAAAAAAACGGGCACGGGATTGAAGAACCGAATCTCTCGGTACTTTGATCAAACACCTGGCGGGGGATTTCTCATCCTTCCGAGCTTTGAAAGCCAGAAAGATAAGAAAAACTACCCAATTCCGGCAGCGAATTTGTCCACAATACCATATCTTAAATGCTCCCCCGGCATTTAGTTCAGTCACAGATTTGATTACATTAAACAATTTCGAATTTTGAAAAGTTGTTGAACCAACCCACCAATTTTCTGCATTTCAAACAGGGACACTCAACTCGGCGTTTAAAAATTACCCAAAAATAGCAACTGTGGTACCTGGAGAGAAGGCAGCCATGGGAGTAGAAACGTTGGGAGCAGCAGGCTGCGAAGCATGAGAATGAGCAACAACAAGTGGTGAAGGAAGAAGAACGTCGGGACCGGCGTGAGCTGAGTCGAACGAGAGGAAAATCCAAATGGGTAAGTGAGCAGCCACCAGAGAGCGAAGAAGAAGATGAAGAAGAAGCAATTGCTGCTTGCCCTTCTGCTTCATTGTCTGTTTCTTCCCTTCTGTACTAAAAACAGATCACATGGAGACGAGACGACAATGGCGGATAGGGAGAGATACGCTCGACCTCCCCACCACGGCTTATCCCAGTTCTCCAAAAATCGAAACAGACAAGAGACGAGAAGAATAACGTTCGGGAAGCAAATGGGAGTTTTTTTGTTCTTTTGGATCTTTCCCCCAGGGGACTAATTTGTTGTGTTCTTAAACAGAATAGAATAGTGAATAGAGAATTGTTTTGCTTTGGGTGGAGAAAAGGCCAAGAGACAAAAGGACATGAAAAGGTGAGGAAAAAAAGGGCTCTCTCCTTTTTAAAATTTTATTCAGCTTTTGCTTTTCAGTTTTCTCCCCTCGAGCTCAGGTTTAGCCATGGCGGATTGAGTGGGCCGGCGAAAAGCAAAGGAGAGGGAAGAAGAAGGAGAACGAGGAATAAGCAAAACTGTGACTGTGAGGCAGCATAAGAAGTGGCCACTACCACCACTACATCAGTCATGTCATGTGGTGGCAGTTATGGAAAATTTTCCCTTTCAATCCTTTCTCTTTCCTTTCTTCGTCACTTTTACTCTCTGGAAATTTAACACGAAAATTTTCCCGAGAAAAAGTGGGTTAGAAAGTTTCTGTTCTCTCGGGAGACAAACGGAAACGAGACGGAATGCGCGGTTTCCCTTTTCTCAGTTTCAAAATAGTCGCAGCTGCTTCCGTTTGGCGGGTAACTTTACGGTCGCTCGCTGTGATTCTTAAACCATTATGATGGGGGAAATGAATTTTCTTTCTTTTTCAGCAGTTAAAATGTATGCTTCTCATTTCTCAAAGGTGTGAAATTTATGGTGAATTGAGGGTGGTAAATTCGTGACAAAACAAAATACACGCAAGAAGATATTACATGTAAATTTTATACAAATTAAGAAATTAAAATAGTTGATAAGGTTAGTTATCACAATTCAAATCAACCATTTCATTTATAATTTGACATCACCACTAGCACTACAACTAAGAATTATCATCTAGCTTTATTTTCGACCATGACCAGTGTAGTCAAAATCGCGCTTTAAAGCGTAAAATCATACGATTTTACGTTTCTAGGGTAGGAAAACGTTTCAAATCACCAATAAAATCGCTTTTTACTCAAAATCGGTCAAAATCGTAGTAAAATCGATGAAATCGGTACAAACGGATAAAAACACGTTTTTAGACCATTTTTGTACGATTCCAAGCAAAGGAGCAAAACTGTCTCCTCTCACCAAAACGACGTCGATTTTTATTTAAAAAAAAAAAAATCGGGCTGCCAAAAGGGAGAAGGGGCTGCGCTGAACCCTACCTAATTCATCTATCTCCATCTATCTCCACTCCACCCTTCGGCCGCTTTTTGCCCTTGGCTCGTCGCCCTCGGCTGCCGCCTGTCTCCCTCGGCCGCCGCCCGTCGCCAATCGCCCAGCCGCCTCCCGTTGCCAAGCTGCCGGCCTACCGCTAACTCCAGCGCCCCGTCGCCCGCCGACGCCTTAACTCCTCGCCCGTAGCTCGTCGGCCGTAGCTTGTCGGCCGTAGCTTGTCGGCAGTAGCTGGTCTGGTCGTCGTCGCCCGTAGCCAGCCTCCAGGTATAAGTCCGAGTCTTTGTAACTTGTAAGCTGGATGTTAGTCGATGTTAGTCAAAATTTTGTGTTTGTAATTTTGCGTGTAGGATTTGATTTAGAAGTTGAGATTTTGTGTTTGTAATTTTTGTGTTTATAATTCAGAAGTTGAAATTTTGTGATTTACAATACTTATTCTTTGGTTTATGTAGGATTTGCAATTTCAATTATGTCGAGTGGGGGTACTAGTGCAAGCAACTGTATCCAATTTCAATTATGTCATTTGTGGTTACGATTTATGTTTATGACCTTATTGTTAAGATGTTATGAGTTTGTTATAATTTAGGCATGAATTGCAGGTATTTTTTCTTTTATCTGAACTCTGTGAACTCATATTTTACATAGTTTATGCCGTACTTAACATTATTTTAACTATTATACAGGATGCATAAAAAACTTACGCTTTTACGCTTTGATTCGCCGCTTTTAAGTAGAATCGCCCTTTTAACACCATGACCAACATAACATAATGATATATAAAAACAATTCTCAACTCTTTCTCAATTTTCCCCATTGTTTATATTTATCTATTCCCATATCCCTTTTATGATTATGTGTCTATTAATATTAATAATAATGTCGAGTCCATCCCATTAATAATACAACAATATTAAACCTTCCAACGATCCAATAATTTAATACACACATCAAATCATCAATGGAGAAAGAGATCCATGGAGCAAGGAAAGGAATTCCGGAGAAGTAAATAAAAACTCGACCACCGTCCTGATAATGGGCTCAAGTTAGGGTGCATAACCATGGGTTATGCACCAATCAATAATCAAATCTGGACCCTTCATTTAGAAGATCCAGATCTAAAGATGGAGAATTAAAGACTATTTTTATTTTCACTAGTTTTCTTAATTGACTCATATCTTTTTCGTTTTAACTCGGATTTTAATTTTTTTGCACAGATGGAACGAGTTCATCGTGCTCTACAAAATGAGATCAATTTTCAATATTTTTTTAGGGAAAAAAATTATGGCCTCTCGGTACCAACTGCATACCATATGGTATCTTCTTCGTTTTTAATTCGTTTTTGAAAACGTTTGCATAGAAGGGACGAGTTCATCATGATCTATTGGATCTACAAATTTCTGGGTGAACAAATTACAAGACAAAAAAAATACCACACAATATCATACAATACCACCCTGGTGTGGAGTGGTATCTTATGGTATCTTATGGTATACAATGTTAAAAGTCGTAAATGACCATTAATATACTTTTACTATCATGTATTCAACCATCCTACAATTTTGGTTTGTGTCATACCACCATGGTACGTTTTTCAAATCATAGGTATGCTCTTATTTCAATACCAGTCAATACCATATGGTATATACTGGTAAAAAATGGCTCAATTTTTTTTGTTCGAAAAATATATCAAAGTGGATATCATTTTGAAGAGCACAATTAATCTGATCTAACTGTGCAAAAAAAATTAAATTTTGACTTAAAACGCGTGAGAAATCGTCCGTCAAAGATTAAGGAGGGGAAAATTAAAGACTTTTCAGAAGAGAGAGGATGCTGATCTCATGCTGATGTGGGCGGGTTACTCATAGTCAAGGTTCTAAAAGGCGCTAGGCGTAAGGCAGGCGCTCGACTCCTGACTTGCGCCTTGCCTGATTAGGCGTAGTCTAGGCGCGCCTAGGCGTTCAGAGCATAAATGGAAAAAGTTCTCAAATATTTCCTGTTTTCTGGAATAATTCATATAATCCAAGTGCATATAAAATTAGCAATGCCTAGTTCTTAATAGTAAACACTTAACATAACAAATAACAAACAAATAGTGACCACTTCCTAGAATCACAAGTTCATAAAATGTCGAAATACTAAACAATAGTCAATAAGTTCATAGGAAAATGTTCATTCTTCATCATCCAAGTAGGTCCGTCCAGCCACCACTTCATCTTCATCATCCTCAAAAGCAATCTCCTCACCATCCTCCTCTTCAGACTCTAATTCTTCATCATGGAGCTCTCTCACTCGTGCACTCCTGCGAAGCTCACTCAGTTAACCCGCCATTGCATCTGTAACAGTACTTGAGGGTGCACAATATGATTCCTCATCCTCATCTACGAATACATACATAGCATGGTCATCCCCTTCCCGTGTTTGTGATTTTCTAGGGCAAGAGGCAATTTTCTGATTTTCTAAGACAAAACGAATAGTATTGAGTTTAACCGCCTAAGCTCGCCCAGGAACGCCCAGGCACGCCTTCTCTCCACTAGGCGCAAACTAAGCGCTATTCCAACCTACTAAGCGCTACCAGCGCCTTTTACAACGCCTTGGGCCAAGTCAAGGCGATCCTCCACCGCCTAGCGCCTAATTGAGCCTAGGCGTGCGCCTAGGCGCGCCTTCTTGAACCCTGCTCATAGTTACTCACCATAAGATTACTGACCTGATCCGTTCCCCTGATAATGATCGTTTCACCCATCGCGTAATCGTAAGAACTAGAAATTAAAGAGACAGAGATTAGGGTTTTTATTCTTTATTGACTCCGTAAAACGTAGAAACCAAGTACATGTTTATAGGAGAACCGGAAAACCTAATCACATACCAATTAGACAAGGATATGGTAACTTAATCCTAAAGAAACTACTTTAAACACTTTAATAATTAAGATGATTCCTAAACAATAATTAAAACTAATAATAATAATAATGATAATATGGCTGTCGATAATTGTAATGCATCACGTCCGTCTCTCACGTTTTAGGTGGCAGTAGCACTTCCATGTTTTTCTTTACTACGATGTCATACCGGTTTATATCGAGCCAACAAAGCAAAGGGACAACCCTCCCTCTCTATTTTGGTCTCGGTTTAGCATCATCATATATCGGTTTGACAAGTGCTGTGATTATATCAGTGGTACAATCAATTCAATGCCGATTTTAGCAAAATATGTAGGGAAGTGGGAAAATAAAAACATATTTGGAAACAATCTCTCCAAAATCAAGATTGATACTTAATTTTTTTTGCAACATTCAAAATAAAACAAAAAATTCTCATATATAAGTACAACATTGAAAGCCGGCCAACATCCAAAGTTGATATTTGAATCAAACAAATAACATAAACATCTAAACATTTATACATGAATAATAAAAATAATAATATCAACATTGAACTTTCAAATTCAACAAACAGACATCATTTTGTTTGAATGTCAAAATTCGATCATGCTACTCATACCGAAGGACATTCCAAACGATTTTGTTACCAATGCTGATTCGACTCGATTGTATCGGTCTACATCTCACCAACATAACAACCATTTATTCTCAATGAATTAACTAACTAGTACATGGTTTTCCTCCCTAATTTTTTTTTGGTTGTTGTTGTGCGAGCTGGATGGCTCACAGAACGTGCACTAATTCCTTTCCTCCACACCCCACACAGCTCATATGACTTACGGGAGCCAACTTGATCGACAGTGTCTGTTGTGGGACAGCTCCGATCCGATCGTCGTCCTATATCTCATCGTCGGCCGGCCGGCCTTCACATTCCGTGTAGTCAACGCCCACAAAGGCGGGCGCCGGTGGGACGTCAGTATCATCATTAGACTTGGATGCCGATCGAGCGGGTCCCGATTTCTGTCTCTGTTTGTCCCAAATCAATTGGTAAAATGGGAGTTTCTTGTCGTACTTCAAATTTAATTGACCGCATTGATTTACCTGATCTTGCACGTTGGCTCATTCAAGGCTATGTTCCGCCATGGCAGTAGCCAAGTATGGATCGATCTTGTACAATTCGTTTTCATTAGGGATGGCAAAAATATCTGTAATCATCGATATC